AATAAAGCTAGAATCGTGCACTTGCTTAGTGGATTGTATTGGATTTGTGACTACATGTACAGCTCTAAGACCTTACTGGGATGAGCTCTGACTCCTGCAATGTGCCAGAAAAAGCATTCCCACTTTTCCTTGAGATAACTGACCAAGTGTTTTCTTAGAACCAAAGTTTTAAAACTTGTTAAGGTGTATTTGCTTGTAACATAGCTATAGAGGTTTTTTGGGAGGGGGAATCAGGGGCTAGGGGTAGGCAATGAGGTTAAAGGAAGTTTCAGAGGAGAAAAGCTGGTCATGCTTGGCTGGAGAAGAAAATGAATAGATACCACCAAGCAGCAGGACAGTGGCTTTTCTTGTTGTTCTGAAATTGCATCTGTTGCAGCAAATCCTAACCCCAAGTGAAAAAAACAATAAAAAGGTCTGACGTTTTCTTTCCAGCTGTTGCTACAATAATATACTCATAGAACAGAATTTGTCACATCACAGATGTGGTGTAGCTGCAAATATTTTTCTATATGTTGAGAAGCTGCAGTAGTTAATGAAATAGCAAGGAAAAGGTTATAGCAGAAAATAAAGGGTGGGTTTATTAAGGATGTACAAAATTACACCTTGTGCTGCTTTTTGTTTTTTGTTTTATTTTTGTTTTCTTCAAAGCTGATTGGCTAGATTAGCCAGACTTTGGCAGAGTTAGCAAATGACTGAGGCCTAAGTAATTCCTGAAATGAGCACTGGATCTTTTGACAGCAGTATTGAAGGAAGGAAGGAAAAGTCAAGAACACCACGCAGTTCCAGGGGCTTTTGTTTGTTTGTTTGTCTGTTGTGGTTTCATTTTGTTATTTGATATCAATCTCTGGTTGTTCATACAGGAGAAGGAAAAATATTTTTTTGTTGGACAAAGCTCTTGCTTAAAAGAGAGTAAAAAAGAGACTGTTTTAAGGTTGTTGTTGTTTTTTTTTTCCTGTTGATGTTCTTATTTACTGGTATGCAGATTTAGAAACTACTTCCATGCTAGGAAGCTGCTTAATTTTAATTGTATATTACTCAAGCACCTTTTTTGAAGCTCAGAAAAAAAGGAGATCATGCTTCTTTAAACTTTAGCATTATAGGAATATTTATGTAAATATAATTATGCTAAAAACAACAAAAAGTATTTGTATGTTTGTGTATATATATGTATATACAAATGCATGTAGGTATACGTATGTATATATACATGCATGTGTATGTACACTATACGTATATATACTGTATATATAAAATACTATGTATACAGTATATATTTTTTCTATTTTTTTTTTCTTGTTGAATGTATTTTTATCTGAGAGAGATTTTACCCAGAGCAAAAACAGATAAACAGGCATTCCATATCAGTGCTTAATCACTTGTGAGTTTAGAAGAGACGAGAAAAGAGCATCTCATTCTACCTACAGTTTGATTTGATTTGAAAGTGTTTGTGTGCGTGTGTGTGTGTGTGCACTCTTGTGTTTGCGTGTGTACAGTACGTGCACGATTATAGCAGTAAGCGTTGCTCTTGCTACTTGCTACATTTCAGGGTGTTTCTTATTTTTCTTTTCCTGCTTAGCCTTAAAAAGGCTTTTTAATGAATGCATTGGCTAGAGACACTGATGACAATATACATGCAGCACTAATCAGCTCCATAGAATAACAGCATCAGCTCCTGGATTTTCTATTGTGTTTTTTTTTTCTTTCTTTTATTTCTTTTTTTGTTTTGTTTTGTTTTTTTTCAAACAATTGTTTGAAACAACTACTGGAATATTGTCCACATTAAGCTGGAAGTTTGTTGTAGCTTGCCTCATTTATAACTCTGGCTGTATAATACAATGTTAACTTTCCAAACAGGTCTTGGCACTTTTATACTAATTACCCATTTGTGCATTGCCTTTTTTCTTTTACAAATGCTTGTCATAAGAGACACAGATACCCAGTATGCTTAATGTGAAAAGAAAATGTATTTTTTGTAAAGGAACTCTCAAGTATTGTTGTAAATACTTGGTCAGAGGTTGCTGAACTTTAAAAACTGAAAAGAAAAAAAAAACCTAATTTATTATTATAATGACCTAATTTATTAATCTGAAGATTAACAATTTTTTTGTTTGTTTTAGAATATCAAAAAGGTGTTCTAGCTGTTTGCATCAAAGCAAAAAATAGGTGTATCATCAAGGGTCAACATTTTTTCTGCTTATGTAACTTCCATTTCCAACCACCAATAAGAAAAAATGTGGTCTCCCCAGTGTTTTGTACTTAATCTGATATTGAAACAGAGACGTTTCTGTCCACTTACTACAAAGATTTTGTCAAGACAAGACATCCATTCCTTGCATAAGAGTAAGCAGTCTTTATCCAGAAATTGTAAATGCTTGCTTTTGTTTTACAATCAAGGCCATATTCTGAAAATATTAGCAGGATATAGGACATGGTGTAAAATGTTTTTTATTATTATTATTTTATTATTATTATTTTAAAGATATGATTTATCCTATGTGCTGTATCCATTACACTCTTTTACTTTGGTTCCTGTTGTGCTCTTGTAAGAGAAATGCAGATATAATTTTCTGAAAAATAGATGCATATGTGGCACTCGGAGTGCACTGCGGTTCAGCAGATTGCTTGTTTACTTTTTTAACTGTAAGGCGGTTTCTTGTAATTTGGCTCTTGGCAGCACAATAAAAAAAAAATTTTAAACCTACCGATGTCTATTTTCTTAAATCTTCTTATTTACTACTTCCTCATGCTAGTCCTTGAGACGTTCATTTATATCTTTATGTTATGGTGAGTCATTTGTTGTCTTCAATCAGAACGGTTCAGAAAATACTGTGGGTGAAGAAATGTTTGCAGTTACAGAAAGCTCTGGGTTCTACACTAAAGAATTTTCACACTGAAGGGATTTGTGGCATTCCAAATAGTTTCAGCATTCACTGAAGTGCAATCAAAAATAAAGTTCTTTCTGATTTTGACTCCTCTGGTCCAGCCATACCTGCCACAGTCAATCACACAGGACTGTGACACAAGGTCCCGTAGAAGGGCTGTGGGATCAAAGCTTTAAGGGCTTCATAGAATCATAGAATTGTTTGAGTTGGAAGGGACCTTTAAATGCCATCTGATCCAGCTCCCCTGCAGTGAACAAGGACACCTAGAGCTACATCAGGGTGCTCAGAGCCCCATCCAGCCTGACCTTGAATGTCTCCAGGGACATGGCATCCACCTCTCTGGGCAACCTGTGCCAGTGCCTCACCACCCTAAAAATCACAGAATTATAGAATCATAGAATGGCTTGGGCTGGGAGGAACCACAAGGATCATCAAACTCCAACCCCCTGCCACAGGCAGGGCTGCCAACCTCAATATCTAATATGAGATCAGGCTGCCCAAGGCCCCATCCAACCTGGTCTTCACCCTTACTGTAAAAAAACTTATTATTTATGTCCAACCTAACACTGCCCTCTTTCAGTTTGAAACCACTTCCCCTTGTCCTGTCACAACAGACACTAATAAAGAGGCAGTCCCCTTACTTCTTACAACTCCCCTTCAGATACTGAAAGGCCACTCTCAGGTCTCCCCAGAGCATTCTCTTCTTCGGGCAGAACAGCTCCAGCTCTCAATCTGTCCTTAAAAGGGGAGGTGTTCCATCCCTTGCATCATTCATTTACATATTTGCCTGATCTAGCATCTTTGCTCTTTCCTGACTATGCCTATGGAAGGCTGTTTTCTTGAGCAGTATCTTTAAATGCTGCCTGTGAAGAATTCATTTTTTCATCTGCATAGAAGAGGAAATAACTCTATACTAACGTAAAAAATGATGGTGCATCCATGTTTGAACACTTGAAGCAGTCCTGGCCTCTGTTGCAGTACTATCAGTATCAGAAAAAATTACATCTGAAATGCCTATGTAGGACAGAGATGCTTTGTCTCTTTCTAAACACCAAGTGGGAAAAATGAAAAGAAACTCAAACAAGGCTGAACACAAATGAGAGAAGGTAAGCAGAGAAACTTAGAAACACGGAGTGATTGAGGTTGGAAAGAATATCAAGTCCAACTATCCACCAAACCTACTGAGCCCCAATACTAAACCTTAGTGCTATATCCACACATCTCTTAAATACTGCCCGTTCCTATGCTTGATATGCTTGACCACCCTCACTATGAAATAAATTCTTCCTGATATTCAACTTAACCCTCCTCTGGTGCAACTTGAGGCTGTCACCTTGTGTCCCATCACTTGCCAGGTGAGAAGAGGCCAACACCCTCCTCACTGCAAGCTCCTTTTAGGCAGCTGGGGGGATCTAGGTCTCCCCTCAGCCTGCTTTCTCTGAACAGCTGCAGTTTCCCCAGCTGCTCCTAAGCGCTGGTTTTCCAGTCCCTTCACCAGCTTCACTGCTCTTCTCTGGACACATTTGACCCCCTACATATCCCATACTGAGGGGCTCAAAACTGAGCATGGCACACTCTGGAATATCGCTTGGACAGCTCAGGCATCGGGTTTGAACTTCGGGTGGTGCTGAGCGGAGCCGGGGGTCGGATGATCCTCGGTTGGACTCGATTATCCTTCTAGCTCGGGTTATCTGCGATTACTGCAGCCTCAGGCCTGCGGCTGTCACTTCGATTCAGCGGCGCTGACAGAACTCCTTTAAAGCGCCTCTGCTTCCACCACATCTGAGCGACGACGCGGGCACCTCAGGGAGCCGCCACTCCAGGGCAGGCAGCGAGGTGCCGTGCGCGCCTCGAACCGAGCAGGGCTGAAGGGTCTCCGTCCGGAGCAGCCGGGAATCCCACCGGGCGGCTGCGGGCGGCTGCGGGCGGCTCCGGCTGTCCCAGCAGCGCCCCGTAGCTCCGCCGGCCGCAGTTTCCGTCTCGGCCGCGCCGGAACGAAGGCACGAAGGCTCGAAGGCACCGCCCACCGCGGCCCGTCACGCGCCCCGCCTTCCCCCCGAACCCCGCGGAGCCGCCGGGAGCGCGCGGTTCCCGGAGTCGTGACCGGGGGCGCGCAGCCCGGCGTCTCCAGCTGCGGCGATGGCGGCGGCGGCTTCGCAGCGAGACCCGGGGGACTGGCAGGACTTCTCGGGCTTCCAGCCCTCGGCGGGGAGCGCTCCTGAAACCGCCAGAGGCGACAAAGGCGGATGGGATCTGGGAACGAAGTTGTCCCTCTGCTTCGAGCCCCCCCCGGCCCGCGGTGCCGGTTGCTGCGAGAGCCGCGTTCCGCTGCGGCCGCTCACGGAGCAGAGCGCGCTGCAGGACGACGAGTGAGTGCAGGCCCGGGGAGAGGGGGAGCGGGGCGGCGGCGTTCCGGCCGGATGGGGAGGCCCGGTCCGGCCGAGGGGGAACGGCGGGGACCGCGGTGCCCGTCTGTGCTGCACCGCTGGGCCTCCGGGCACGGGCCTAACGCTGCACCCCGCTTTCGCCGGGTCCCCGGTTAGTCTGGCTTCTGGCCGAACGCACGTTTGGAATCACGCGTGGAAAGTGTGGGAACGGCACCTCCGAGTTTTGCAGCCGTGGTCGTTGCTTTCTCCCCTCAGCAACGGAGCGCTTTAGGCCTGTGCTGCCCTCCTGCTTTTAACTTCATTTTAAGAGTTGCTACACCTTATGGCAAATTTCACTCTCATGTAACTTCATTAGGAATACTGCGGTGTTTCTTTTACTTTGAGGTAAGTCGGTTGGGTGCCCTGTTCCAAGAGAAGGGGCTTTTTTTGCTCAGCAGATGCCTGGCTATCTGGCACCAGCAGGGAGGTCATCACTGAGCCGTGAGTCAGAGGCATTGCTCAGTGCTGAGCCGTATGAGCCTGGCTATGCAACCGCTCCAGACACGCACCCACATTGCAGTGCTTCCAGGCAGTCCAAGATCTGGACTGCTGTACCAGAGTAGGACTGCGTGTGCGAGCTGCTTGTATGCAGGAATGATTAAGATGAGCTGTAAAGAAGAGTGGTGAGCTGTGGTCAGCAAGAGTACTGCTGGATAAAGCAAAATTCTTTGTATCTTTGCTTTTCTGTGATAAATGGGAAAAAAAGCTTTATGAAAGCTAATGCAAGCTGTAAAAATACAGGTTTGACTCAGATGTTGCTGTCAGCCTCTGCTACTTCTTGACTTTAATCTGCAGGAGGCAAGGAAGACAGGGACAACTGTAGGAAAAGAATTTCTAGCTGATCTCAAGTTTCAGCAGGGAAAGCCTTGCCCACTTGCCCACTCCCCATGAAGATTTTGAGTGGAGTTATATTGTTAGCAATAAGGCTGTCACTTTTTTTTACTTTTTTTTCACCTTGCTTTACTTCACTGTTCTGCCTAAATTTTGGATTTAAAATGAGAAATAATTGATGTTTATTTAAAAAACTTGGCTTCTTGACTCCAGTGCATAATAAAAATATTGTCAGTAAATTGCAGGTGAATATTTAGGGAGGAAAATTGATACTCATAGGCAGAAAGATATTTCCATTACAGGTATGCTTACTGTGTTACGCTGTACGTTTTAATTCCTCTTTTCCTTTCTCCAGGATTTGGAATGCTTTGACTGATAATTATGGAAACGTAATGCCAGTTGACTGGAAATCTTCCCACACCAGAGCTTTGCACTTGCCAACTCTGAACCTTTCAGAAAAAGGGGTAAGTTGCAATCTGCAGAAGTACCCTTTTTGAATCTCTTACACTCAGCAGGGAAATAAAGCAATTTGCATTTGTATAAAGTACTGTTGCTACTAAATAGATTAAAATATTTTGCTTGATATTAGACTTGAGGCTGTTGAATATTAGACATGAGAAAAACAATTGTTGATGTATGTTTGCTTCTGCTTGGGTTGAAGTGATGTGGGGTTAAATGGAGGCCTTTGGAGGCCAGTGCTACTTAGACCACAGCGTGGTAGACAGTTGTACAATTCAGTTTACCTGAAGCACTTTCTCCTCATTTCATTTTGAAAGATGTTCTGGGTAAGGGAGGAAAAAAGGAGTATTCTGATTTAGTAAATCTTGTATGGACTTTTAAAAAGTTGATCTCATTCTGCATTCATTTGGAGACTGAAGTGATTCTTTAATGGGAAAATTGACCAAGGAGAACAGAAGTGCAACTTAGTTCTGTTTCTGTTTTCTTATTTAACAAATGAATAGTTTCCTGGAGAAGGAAGAGCTTCGGTGAGGTTTATGGAAGAGGTTGTCCTCTGAGCTTCTTACACATGGATTAAAACACTTGAGGAAGAAAGCTAGGAAGAATTCTCATCTCTCAGGTCTTCTGAGGGAACAAGTTGTTTAAGCATGGTGAAGTTGGATTACGTTGTAAAAATATCTCAGTGTGTAACCTGAGAATAGATTAATGCTTTGATTTCTGCCATCCATTAAAGAATCCATAGGTACTTTTTATGCTGACAAGAGCAGTGATTGTTCTAGTGAAAAGGATAGCAGAAAAAAAAAGAAAAAAGAAAAAAACAAAAAAAAACCACATTTCACCATCTTCCCCTGCAGAGTCTCTGTCTTTCTCTGTTGAAGTCTGATGATTATCTCTTGATTTTTTTGACTTGAATATATTCTAATTTTTATTAATAGCATGCTCCGACTTTCTTAGTGATTTTAAAGTAATTAAATCTTTACATTTAAAGTTAAAAGCAGTTGCAGCCCCCTGTGCTGTGTTTGTGTTTATGTGACTGAAACAATGGAGTGGAAGGTTGATTTCTTAATAGATAACCAGTTACAATATACAAATATTGAATGGAATTTTTGTAAGGAAATTATGAAGGAACTACATAAATATGAAGCTGTGTTGCTGGATTATAAAGAATCTTAGGTATGCTGGAAGTAGAAAAGAAATTGGTTTATGAAATAAACATAGCTCAAGTTTTTTCAGCTTCCAGTCCACCTGGCATGCCTTTGGATGTCTGAAGCCCATCTGTTTGGAGGCATTCAGCACTATTTCTTTTCCTACTTCTGTTTCAGTAGTACTTCTGGATATGTGACAGCACATATGGATCAGCTAGTAGCTTGTTTTAACTTTCTTACTTAATAATGCTAACAGCTAAGTAATGCTTCTTTGATGTGTTTGAAGCTAGTAATATGCCATTGGATTTGAGCTTCTCCCTCTTCTAGGAGGTGAAAACGTAAGGTGAATGAGGTTGATTCATCAAATCTTTGTTGCTTCGACATCACAGATCTCTGAATGCTTTTACGTAGCTCTGGCAGCGAAAGGGGAAGCTGGGAGGATGTGCTGTGCAGTGGTGCAAGGAACAGGGTTGCGTAATTGCTGTTATTATATTATTGTTAGATTACTTCCAGACGTGTCGCTGCCTGAATTGGTCTGTTCGGCAGGTACAAAAGCTGAAGCTGCCAGTGCAAGGAGTGGGAGTGTGGGGCCTGAAATGGGCACACAGTGTGACTGGGTGCACTGCCAGGTTAGTGTCAGCTATGCTTTGGGCTGTTTTAGTTGGTTTTTTGGCTTAACCATCAGAATATATTCTGAGTCTCTTAAAATGTTTGTGGGGATGTGAGGAAGGAGAAGCTGACCTCCTTCTGGATGTGCTGTTATCCTTGCTTACCATCTCATAGACGTTGACCGTTTCAGGACTGCAGACGTGAACAAATGTCAGAACTGAGATGTGTCTGTGTGGTGGGTGAGCAGATGTTCCAAGTGGAGGCCTGTGACTGCGTGGTTAGTCCAGATTCTGGAAAAAAGAGTACGCTCACCTTCTTACTGATGCCTGAAGAAATACAAATTGTGTGTTTTCAGATGACTTTAGCTTTTCTAGGTTGTTTTGGCTGGAATGTGATAACAGACAAAATGCAGAAAAAGAATGTTATTTGTAAATATTAAAGTATTTGTAAATAAGCTATAATATGGCAGAGTATGAGAGTAAAATATATGTGATTGTTGAAGGAGGAGACTTCAGGAAACATTCTATTTTTAGAACAGTTTTTTATATTGCTTTCATTATGTGAAAAAATAAAACTCTAAAAGCACATAAAATCACAGGTGTTTAATATTTGTTCTACGTAGGTTTCCACTCCACGCTGAATAACGTCAGCCTTCTTTTAAGGCAACTGCCTGTTTTAAATATCTGTAGGGAAAGCTGTTAGCCCAATGCAGATATCTACGTGACGTTGTGTATGTGGTCTTTAATTGCTGAGTTCTTCATCTTTCAAGAGTGACACCTCTCTTAACTATTTCAGTGGTTAAGATGCTTCAGTTTCTGCATGCTTGACAGCAAAAAGCATTCATACCAGTATTATGGGCAAGGAAAATGTTTTGTTTGTGAAACTCTACATTAGTTCCCCTTTTGTTTCCTTTATAATTTCTGTATTTTTTTTTTTTGTGTGTGTGTGTATGTGTGTGTGTGTGTGTGTGTGTGTGTGTGTTCAATTTTCATGCTTTCTAGGTAAATGATAACTTAAACCTTGACCTGTCAGATGATGAAGAGCTGAGAGAACAGCTGGATATGCATTCCATCATTGTTTCCTGCATCAATGATGAGCCACTGTTCACAGCAGAACAGGTACATTTTTCAGCATGGTGGTGATATTGTAGTATTTTCTTTTCACCTGTGATTATGTTGTATTCTTCTTCCTTGCTGCTTACAGGAGCTAGCTTTCTTGATTGGTTTTGGTTTGGGGGCTTTTGTTTGTTTGTTTGTTGTTGTTTTTTTAGAGTAATTGTAATGTGTGTGATATTATTAATATCCTTCAGATTTGAAAAGGTATTCCAGTGCTTCAGGGGAGGTCGGTAAGATAGTCAGGGTCTTTGAAATCTTTATACCCTTCTTGTCAGGAATAAGTTAGAAAAACTACTAAATTAAATACATGGGCTAAGAAGCCAAAACATTTTCTATATATTAAGATTACTATAATGTTTGTAGTTTCCCAGCTTGACAATGTGGGTATTCATATCTGCATGTGGCTTTGTGACTAGTGAGAATTCTCTGAAGTTTTTGCCTATATGAGAGCAAAATAACAGTTCTACTGATAGGCATTTACATTACTTGGTATCTAAAGGCTTCTTTTCTAGATCCGTGGATTTATGCTCTATTCAGAATTACTGTTTTGAGTAAAGTTAATGTCCACCCCACTTCAGTAAGCAAATGCAATCTAACATATTCAGTATAATATAATATCCAAAAAAAAAAAAAAAAGTTGTGGTTTAGATGGCTCTGAAGAAATGATAGTACTATTTTTTTTCTGCTAATCATGTCGTGGAGATCTTCCATTCTGATCCAAGTGCTGGATTAACAGGAACATTTTGCTGTGTTAGCAGAGATAAGGAGAAAAACATTCAGACTTAAAAGAGCTGAGAAAACAGAATTCCATTCACAGTAGATGATTTTGGGTGGTGTTTTTAAATGTCGTCTTTGTTCCATGTGCACTGAGTTCTCTCTATAAGTGTCATCCATAAAAGTACACAAGAGTTTTGCTTAGAGAAATGTAGTGAAATTTGAGAGTATTAAAAAAAAAAAAAAACCTCATTGACTTTGTTGCTGTTTTGTTTTCCTTTGACCAAACCCTCCAGGAAAATATTCCAGCGTACACTTCACTTCTCTTAAGCAGAGCTTTGTGTACCTTCATGTGGAAATAGCTGGGTGGTTTCAACACACTGCTTGTATTGAGATCACCACACAACTACCAGAATAGCTTGAAAAGATGCATTTATTCCCAAAGGATGGGTAGGAAACATCAGTGTGGTTTCATTCATTCTCCTGAACCCTGTCTCATACAGTATGAGTTTCACTTAGCAACATCTGTACTACTTGAAAGTAAATAATAACAATAATAATAACGATTTCTAAATTGATTTGCTTCAGATTGCAAGCTGTGTCTCTTGCAGTGAGAGTTCTCATAAGGATTGTCTTTTTTTGAAGGTGATTGAAGAAATAGAAGAAATGATGCAGGAATCTCCTGATCCCGAAGATGATGAAACACCTACTCAGTCCGACCGTCTCTCCATGCTTTCCCAGGAAATTCAAACACTCAAGAGATCCAGTACAAACAACAGCTACGAGGAGAGTAAGTGCTGTTTATTTAGTGTTTTGTTCTAAAAAATAGTTTCTGAAAATCAGTCTTATTGAAATAGTCTTGTTGAAAATAGTTTAATAGATAAGCTTGTCACATACTTCGTTTATAGTGACTCCTCTTATGAAAAATCTGCATCCAGGAATATTTTGAAAATATTGGATTTCTCCCAAAAGGAGAGAGTAGATTTAGGATGTAAATAGAAGACGTATCTTTGTCAGCTCACCTAACTTAGAATGAAAATGGAACTGTATAGAATTTATGTGTTGGAGCTCAATTTGCTGTAATGAAATCCTTTCGTAGATAATGGGATGCCTATAATTTTTATTTATTAAATTATATATTCTGAAGAGAGGTGCTTTCTTAGGCCTTTGTACTGCTCCTGTTTAAGGAGATTAGCTAAAGCTCTTGAAAGCTATACCGTAGATGAAGAAATGGGTTTTCATTAGTATTGTTTCAGTCATTGCAACTAATCTTGATACACAGCAACACAAAACTAAGAAACCATTGCTTTTTTACTATCTGAGGACCACAACCCTTTCCACCTTTGCCATTCCCTTTCAAAAAACCGTAAGAGGAAAAAATACTTCCTCTTCTACTGCACAAAGGAAATTTGCAATTTTCTATAAAAAAGGAGAAATTACATATATAATGTAAGCAAAACATATTGATTTGCTTCTAAACATAAATCTAATTAATCAATTTCGTGATGGAAATTTGATTAATCTGCTAGTTGAAATCTGTACTTGAAAAAGATAGGAGTTTGGTGCTTTCTTTCTCATAGTCTGGGTCAGCAGTATAAATTCTACAGATGATTCAGAAAACCAGCTGACCTTTTGTGACATGCCTTACAGCTTCTGCTACATTTCAGATTTATGGAGGAGATTCCATTTTCATGGTTGGACTTGTAGCTGTCTTAACACATAAATCTCAGGAATGTGAAAGCATAGTATATCCTGCACAGCAGGGCTTCCTGCTCTTCTGACAGTTCCATATGTCCTTAGGTTTAGAGCTAATCAAGCTTGCTTTGTATTTCATACCATATTTATTTTGCCTTGCCTCGGGAAAAGGAAAATAAATATCATCTCTGGTGCATCTTCTTTGCTGCATCTTTATGGCTTAAAAATGAGCCTTGACCAAATAACTCTTGAGTTTCTTTCGTCAGATAATTTAATTTTCTTCACCAGTTCCTCAGAATCAGCTTTCACACCTTTCACTGTTTTATGAAAAGCTTTTGCTACCTTTTATTCATTTGCAAGGCTGCTTCCAAGTTTTGTCAGCATCTCTCTGAATTTGTTGAATTTTGCAGGCCACAGGTTTTTCCTGGAAGCTTAGTCTGGCTTGTGTAGGACAAGTCAGAGGTGTTAATCTTTAGGATTGTGAGCAAGAAATCAAAGCTTGTGTTTGCTCTTTTCTTGGATGGGAAATGTGTTGGATTGTTCAGTTCAATCTACTTGAAGCTTAGAGCCTTTGCCATTCTGTACTGTGCTCTTACTGTACTGTTAGTCTTCTAGCAGAATGTAAGACCTAAGCTACTCTGAAAAAACTGAGGCTCATTGCCCTAAGAGGTTTAATTGCATTTTCTTTGGTAAGTCAGAGGGAGCTTTCCCAAATAAATCATTTTTCCCTGCTCTAATTTAAGAGAGAAATTCACCTACTACATTTTGATGCTTCTGAGAACTGTACTGTACTGTAGTTTGTGAATTTATCTGTATTTTTCAGCATTTGCCCATGAGTACTCACCTGTCTAAGAGTTTACTGGACTAATGGAACATAACCAAATAATTACAAACACAATGCATGAAGACATATGCAGTGTCTTTAAATGGATTGTGCTCTTCATTGTAATCAGGACTGCCTTCTTTTCAAATGCCAGTGAAAGTGACGTTCTTTAGCATCTGGGACTTACTAGTTCATAGGCATGCCAGACGTTATTTTGAGTTCTGAAACAGAAAGCAGTCCTCAAAAAGCTTTTTCAGATTGAGCTGAATTGAGCCTCGGGAGATCCTCATGGTCATAGCTCGTTGTCTGTAGCAGTAGTACTTTTAAAATGTAAATCTGAAGGGTTGGTTTAGTTTCTGAACTGTCATTTTTAAAGGCTTCTGGTGTAGGTTTCACCAGTTTAGGCTTGTGCTTTCTCAAAATCATCAGTACTGATTTTTGCTTGAAATGAGCCTACTGGATAATTTTAATTCTAGGCATTTGTTTCAGGCAATACTTTTGATTACAATCCCCAGACAAAGAAACTTGGAAGCTAGTGTTTTGGGTTTTTTTTTTCCCTGTACTAAATGCATCTTATCATAAAAGCATGTTGTTGTTTCTATTAAGATGTCTGCATGCCTTGCCAGTAACCCTAGGAGGATCCCCTCACTCAGAGCATGCGTAGTTTCTGTGTTACTGTAAGTGAAAAATCCAAGAATTCCAGCAGTGCCGAAGTGTTGACTGCTTTGGAAGAAAATATGGAGAAATCTTCTTCTGAGGAGTGGGTGCAGGAGGAAAGCAATAGTTAACAAGGGTGTCAGTATTCCAAGTCTAGTGGTTATTTCAGCTTCCTTAACTACAGCGTGCCCCTCGTATTAGTGGATTATATCAGATTTCTCAGAACTAAGCAGAAAGTTTAAAGTTCAGTTATTACTAATCTAGTTTCTTCTATGATGAACTTGTTCCTTTATGAATATTGATTTGCTCTGTGTAGTTTTAGAATGTACTTTGTTGTTTTGAAAAAAGTCAAAGTGTTGTTTTCATGTCATCCTGCGCGTATTCTCTCCTGCTTAGAATCTTGACTGATTGCATTTTTCTGTTAACTATTTACAGGAGTAAAAAGATTGTCTGTTGCTGAGTTAAATGAACTGCTAGAAGAAATTGAGACTGCTATTAAGGATTATTCTGAGGAGCTGGTGCAGCAGTTGGCACTGCGGGATGAGTTGGAGTTCGAGAAGGAAGTGAAAAACAGCTTCATTTCTGTCCTCATCGAAGTACAAAATAAACAGAGAGAGCACAAAGAAACAGCAAAGAAGAAAAAGAAGCTGAAAAATGGTAGCCCTCAGAATGGGAAGCAAGAAAGAGGTCATATGCCTGGAACAGTAAGAATATGTTTATAATAAGAATATATTTATAACTGTTGTTAAATTCAAAATATTTTTCCTTCTTCTCTTGGAAAAGTAATAGTCCTTGATTAGACCAAGATAACTGGTACATCTTTCATGCCTTTATTCACAAACAAGTCTCTTAGACACTTCCAATTTTTTTAAATCTTTTCCCATATATAGATAGAACCTTTTGATACAACATTTTGCTCTTCTACATTTCTTATTAAGAATAAGATGTTTGCACATTTGCCTGCAATCAGGATACCTTTCTTGCCAATAATGCTGTATTTTGATGTAGTGCTGTGTTCTATTATCAGGTTAGGCAAGCTCATCCATCTGTTTCATTTGGTTTTACAGTGTGAATTTCAGTATGTTTACCACAATTAGTCCTGTAGGAAATCCAGTATTATTGATGGAGCTGTTCAGATATTTATTAATCACGTTAACCTGGGGCTAGAAAAAGTAAATCTTGCCCTGAGTCTCTGAAACCTGCATTAAAGTTGTTACCTCCAATAACAGATTGAGGTAAGGCCAATATTTAATGCAGATCTATAGGGAGGAAATAAACAAAAAAAACTTGTTTTTTTCTAAGGAGAAATGTCTTTCAAACCGACTTTGAAAAATAGGAGGCAAGCAGTGAGAGAAATTAGGTCGTTATCTTGTCAATGTAATTTTGTCTTATCTGTTCAGTGTAATTTGAAATGGGACATTATTAGAATTCCTAAACTTCTCTTATGGAGTACAGAAAATGTAGCTGAGGTATTGTGGGTCTGGCTTAGCCCCAGAGAATGCTTCAGTTTTGCTTGAGAAGTTCATTTTCAAACATAGATGAATAAACATTTGTCATGAAACATTAATTCTTCAAAATCTACCTTAGAAACTTATGGGAATGGGATAATTGTGATACAATCCAAACGTAGTAGTTGTTCATCTTGTCCAAAAGACCGGTCCTGACAGAAAGCAGTTCTGATTTCCTGGCTGGTGTTGTACCAGTAGATCTAATTTGGTCTCTGTTTTTCCTGTTCCTCAAGTGGAAAAAAAAAACTGTGGACAAATTTGCTAAGCCTTGTGTTAAGATCTACAGTTTACTAAATTATAGTGAACTGATACATTTGCATCTTTACATGGAATTGTGCTAATCTTTGCCATTTATACTAAGAGTATTCTATGTAAATTTGAAAATCTTTACCAATCCAGATGAAAAACCATTCTTTGTGTGTCTAGCTGAGTTTTAATGGAACTCGGAGAAAGTGGGTGTCTGGAAAGCAATATGGAATTTCTGTCTCTTTGCAACAGCAAATCAGAGTGGAGATGTACTCCTTTTTGGATCTCAATCACTGATGAGGAAAAAGTGGTATTCTAACTAGAAAAAAAAAAAAAACCTGATTTAAAACTTGACTGAGGTGATTCATTACTTATTCTGATTATTTAGAGGCTTGAATAATGCTTTCAAGAACCGAAGTATTGATTCTGTTATAAAACATTCTCAGATTTGATTGCTTCAAGCTGTACATATCAGATTACTTCCTTAGATGAGTTGAACTGATTATCTCCCAGATAGACTGTAGGCTTATTAAGTGTGGTTCCTTTGAAAACAGCTTCCACTATCTATACAGATCTGGAAACGTTCAGTCAGAAACAAAGGAACAAGTTTCTTCCTTCAATTTTTTATTTTCTTTTTTTCAAGGAAGTGCAAGGAGTGTGTATATAAGTAGTATATTTGGATTACTTTGTGAAGAGTGAGCTTTTGTTAATAAAGTTAATTACCTATTAGCTGAAGCTATGCTGAAGTCTCATTTAAATACAAAACTTTAATAGGATTTAATAGGAAATAGGATTACATTTTCGTATTCTGAGAAAATCAGTTCTTCTGTGGATACATCATTTGAATTTGAACGAATACAAGTTGTAATTCTTTGTCATTGGTACGGACTTTGGTAACTCATTTTCTCATACTTCCAACTCTTATTTCACAAACACATAGTGAGAGTAATGAAAAATACTCAAGTCATGAAGATACCAGTTACTTTAAGCAGAATTTCCTGGAAGACTCAAAATGGCTTTGGTAAAATCTGTGTCTTTATTTACTGACCCTTTTGCGCTTTGGAAAGCAAATGAATTCAGTATTCCAGCACATTTTTCTTCTCTTCCCATAAATATATACATTTAGATAAATGTGCTCAGGTGTGCACACTGTACTGCTTGCCCTCTGTCAGCAGCTTGGCAGTTTCTTCTTTTTATGTTCTTGCCAGTTGCTGCGTTTTACGTTTAATCCTGAATGTCAAAATTGTTCCAGTTTCTTTTTTTAATCATCTTTTCCTGCAAGCAAAAAGGATTATAATATGTGTGAAGAAAACTGTGGTTGGATTGTGTATTAATTTTTCCTCACTTGGGTTCTGTGTAATGGAGCTTGAAATTAATATGAATGCTTTATTAACCAATTGTGCATATTTTATCTGACCAAAAAAAAAAAAATGAGGAATACAGGTGATAGTTAATTGAAGCACTCCTGTGCTTCAGGAGGGGAAAAAGGAAGCATAAAATGTTTTGAAGAGGTTGGAAGTAAAATGACTGCCTCTGAGAAATATTTCTAATAGAAATCTGTAAAACTGATATCAGCAGTGTCTGTATTGTCTCTAGAAATGTATTGCTCAAACATAAGCTTTAAAGAAAGTTTGTACTGTGAATTAAACTTTAAGTGTTGAGAAATGAAATGGCAAACCTTAAAATATAAGTCTCAAAAATACGAATTTTGGGTCTGAAGTGTGAAAGATCTTGTTTAATTAAATTTGGCGTAGATATACTGTTCAGCTGATACCGTAAGGTTTGCTTTTTATTAATGAAAACTTAGTGGATGAATGAAAGAAGTAGAAATGTGCTGAAATACATCTTAGTGCTTGTCTTTGTCATTTGTCTTACTTTTATCGTTGTGATAAATGCTGATCAATGCTAGCCTTCTGAACTTTTCTCTGTGCATTTTTTTCTCCGCCATGTTTTCACTACCTTTAGCGCTTCAGCATGGAAGGGATCTCAAATGTCATACAGAATGGCTTCCGCCACACGTTTGGAAACTCGGGTGGAGAGAAACAGGTGCTGGGCTATCCTCACTCTTTTCCTCATTCTTTGTCTGAACCTTCGATAGGAGCTGAGATCTTGAAAATTACCATTAGTTGAATATATGTGCCAAGACGGAAAAAAAAAAATAGGACAAAAATGTTGCCATCTGTAGTCTTTCTCTGCCTCAGGACTCCAATCAGCCTGCCGTCTCTCCATCTTTCCTCAATGGGATGAGACAGTCAGGGCTCGATACCCTGATGCACTGAAGTAATCGCTCTTGTTTCTTACCCCAGACTAAAAGTCTGATTTGACGTAATGTGTGCTTTAGGTACGTTGCATGTCTGTGCAAATTGAATGTCCAACAGAAGAACATATACCGGATTTGACATTCCATTTTAGCTTTCAGCATTAAAGGACTTGAGACATGTCTACAATGGAATTTTTTTTCCTTTCTTCCAGTGGTCAGAACTGATATATCTTAAAATCTGAGTAGCATCTGCAAAATGCATGGACTTTATTGTATGTCCTTTTGCCATTGAAAACTGCATGATGTTAAATGCAGAGGAATATGTACAATGCAGATTACTGAGGTAACACAAAAGGGAAAGGCAAGTTTGTGTCTTTTTGTTGACTGTTTAACTGTTGAAACTTATACACAGCCCAGCTTCATTGGGCATCCCTGGAGAGGTTACATACACCTAAGAAACAAGATTTTTATTTTTTATTCCAAAATAATACTTTCTGTTTGTTTCAGAACTGTAGTATTATCATGAGGTTATATATCATGAGTTTACCCTCTTTTGCAAGCAAGGTATGTGTCTATGTGTTAATGAAGGCATAGATTCAGCTATTTGTCACTTGCTTTTTGGATTGTGAGCATGTGGCTAGATCTAACCCAATAGAATCTGTATTGCCTTACATTATCTCAACTCTCTTCAGTTACAGTTACAGCTGTACTGTTTTTGTTGCTATCTTTACCAGAAAATACTAACTACTGCTGCTTTTAGCTGTTTCAAATATACAAACGGGCAGCTCAGACTTATTTTCTATATGTTTATAAAAACACACCTTTTTTTTCTTGATTCTAATCGTAAGTAGCTTAGTCATTTGCTTCCAATATCACTAACTGGGATAACTTCCAGTGATAGTGATTTTTTTTTTCTTGTTAATTTAATAATGCTGTTCTTTATGATGATTGTACTTTTCCCATGATCTATCTTATACTATATTCTTGTTATCTGGGGATATATTTTGTTTCCCTTTCTTGTATCCTAAAATTAATCATGAAAATAAGAAGCTTAAAATGAAAAAGAAGGGAGAAAGGAAGATGTAATACTGCCTCTTTCTAGAGTAGTCCTGGAAGACCATTTTTCTGTGGCATTTGTTCAAAATCTGTTAACTAAAAGGATATTTTTTTTTCTGTAAATGCCTCGTAGGTAACGTTATAAAACCTTTCTTACAGTGTCAGTCTTATTGTGTTTTTCACTTGTTTGGTTTGCTCATTTTTCCTTTGTCATTTTACCCAACTCTGGATGTTCTTTTAAGACACTGTTTTTTCTACAGCAGCAAGCTAGAAAGCAGAATAAGTACCATCTTATACCCCATGATAGTTGAGTGTAATCTGTTTAGTGTTACTCTCAGAACATTTGTATGAGTCTGTCTTCAGGGCGTGTTGTGCTTATAAACTTAAGTTCAGGTATTTTTGTGTGGCAGGGAAGAGTTATGTAACTCCCTGGGGTTGTACTAAAGAAAAAAAAAAAAAGAAAAAAAAATGCAGGAGCATACAATTTTTAGAATGCCTTACAAGGTTGAGGTTCATACCCATTCAATCACAGCATAAAGTTTCTGACATGTTCAGTTCTTTCTAAACTCCTGTCATTCATGAATTTCAATGGTGTTTGCTGTCTTGACTATTTTCAGGATAGTGCTACTCTGAAAACTAGGTAGGTACTTTCCTTTTGAAAACTGTAATCCTCTTTTTTTTTTTTTTGTCTTTGAGGCATGAGTAAACACAACTTAGAATTTTTCAGTGTCTTCACTGATGGTAAAATTTAAAGTGAAGTTTCCAGTGGGAACCACCAGTTCCCATCTGATAATGCAGCTGGGAAAATACAACGCCAACAACAGCATGAAAAGCATCACACAATGCTGTCAGTTCTTTCTGCGGTCTTATCTCCAGAAGGAATTGCAAGATGTTTTCATTTCACTTATTATACATATCAAACACTTTGTATGACTACAAATTACAGTGGGGATTGCTGCTTATCATACTGTCGAATGTATGTCAAAAATGTACAGGTCACAGTAGATTTAATGCTTGGGCATGTCAGTAAGCTATACTCAAATCATTTTCGTAATGTGTTCTTCACAGAGTAATTCAGGGAATGAGTTTTATTAGGGCCATTAGGGAGACTCACTGTTAACAGCTAAGTGGTGATGAGAAAAATGAGGTGATTTTTGGAAAGTAAGAAAACAATTACATGGTTATTGTTTTTTGTCTTTTTCATTGTAAAGGGAAATTGGTAGGTAGGTGTTGTGGGGCAAGGAAAACAAGGAGCATATATTTGGTCATTAAAATGTATCTCAGTTATTTATTGTGCAGGTTGGTAAAGGGTAGAATGGCACTTGAATATTTTGAGGGCTGGAAAGAACAGCCTAAGATCTGATTCCTGAGTTAATAGATCTACTTTCATCTCTGACAAATGTAGATTTAACAGCCTTGTATCTAGCTATTGATTTTCTTGGTTTTAGAAATAATGCAAATCTCTGTGATGTATCTGCTGGGGAAGAAATTGAAAATTGACTCATGGATGGCTTCCTTGGAAGCACTGCCTGCTTTTCTGTGCTAAGTGGATGTAAGGAAAGTGCTGAAATAATAGGGAGGAATTAAAGCACCCCATCTTTGCTCAAGGTTTTGGTGAAGTGTCAGTACATCCCATACAACGTTCTTTTAAATTATACAGAAGTGAGTCTGTCTGGCTTTTAAGCATAAAGACATAAGTTGCGTCATCTCACTCTAATCATGGCAATGGTTATAGCTGGCTTTGGCAACACCAGCTCTTCTTCTGCAAAGTAAACTTCTTCACCGGAGTCTGAGTTACAATTGACTCTTGCTAAAGTGTTGGCCATACTACAGGAGATATGATGTAGAATGTACAAGGGCTGCTCTGCAACTGATGCCTCCTATTTTATTATGTTCGTTTGTGACATCAGAGGTGGATGTTGGTGGTATGACAGTAGAGGCTGAGCATTCCCACCTATATTCTGCTACATGCTGTGTGACAGATGGCAGCAGAAAGGAAGTCTAATAGGATAGCATCTGACATGGAAGTGTGTATGAAGCAAAGGGGTGAAATTGAGCTCCTCTGTGTGGAAAAAAAAATGGCACCCATTGACATTAATCAATGGTTGCTGAACATTTATGGAGACCAAACAGCGGATGTGAGCACAGTGAAGTGGTGGGTGGTACATTTCATTAGTGGTGACAGTGATGGGAAGACAAGCCATGTTCTGGGCAGCTATGCAGATATTTACAAGTGTGGCATATAGGTTCTTGTTCATAGCTGGTGAAAATGCATAGCTAGTTTTGGTGACTTTATTGAGAAATAGTATTCTGTAGCTGAGAATTTGCTCTCAAGTAGTGTTATTGTGCTCATTTCTTCTGTTGTAGTTTCATGGAAATAAATATGAAATTATTTTTGAAGTGACCTATTTTGTCATAGTTATGTAAAGAGTTACAGTCTCTGAAGTTGAATGCAAAATGGAATGTTGCTTCATCTAGTACCCTATGCATAATTACCATAAAAAATATTTCAAGTAAATTCTTAAAAATGGAAGCTTTTTCATTAGGAAAAATCCCAGTGACTTTTAATTTATATAATAAATCTTATAGCAATAGGGTTACTTCAAGAGCTTGAAAGCTCTAGGCAATAAAATCCTGAAAGATTTTTTTTTTTTTAAAGCAGATGAGAGTGAAAGATTTCAATGAAGAGTAAATAAAGCAAATGTGGAGTTGGTTTGAAATAATCTACCAGCATATTTGACTAGTAAAAGTGAAAGTTCAAATTTAAGTGCAAGCAATGGGTTCATGTTTGATTAGGTTTCTTTGTTCCTTTTGGTTGGAAGCATTACAGGGTCAGAAGGTGAAAGCTGTCTGTTTTCATTTTCACCTGACTGTAGGGCAGTCTAATTTTCTTTGTACAGAGGACTATATAGATCACCGTCAGAGATGGGAATGGGCAGCACTCTTTGATCTACCAAGATCTTTGGAATGTTTCATACACTTAGAAGGAGTTCAGCAGTCACTGGGAAAATCCCATGGCTGTTCTAAAATGTTTCTAGCACAGTATATGGCCAAATTTTCTAAATAACTGTTAGCACATTTGTACAAACTTGAATATCTTATTTCACACGGCTCTCACAGCCTGCAGCAGATATGTTCTGCAATCTTTTACAGGCTGAGTAATATCAGTTTCCCAAATGATTTGAGGGAAACATAAATAAGAATTGTTTATCTGGAAATATATTTACCAGATAGTGAGATGATTGTTCTAGCTTTTGCTTCACTATAAGAAGTACTTAAAATATATGAAGGACTTGTTCTTGACATCTGGAAAGTGGAGAGATTTTAGATTTTACTACTGTCATGCTTAGGCTCTGAGAAAGAATACCAGACTATCTACGACTTCCATTTTTTGTCGTCTTGTTTGTTTGTGTTTTGCCGCATGAGTTTTAAAGAGATGTTTACATAATTTTGAAAAAAAAAAAAAAATAGTTTCTGCAATAATAGCTTAGTGTGAGAAGTAGAATCTTAATCACTTGTGAAATACGATTTTTGAAAAGCTGTTATTTCTGGTTAGCAAGTTTAATAGCTACAGTGTTCATGAAAAGAATCCAGGTAACATACGTGGTGTTAAAAGATTGTGAAGTAACTCTGCTTTTTTTTGACAGTATTTAACAACCGTCATCCCTTATGAGAAGAAAAATGGCCCCCCATCTGTTGAAGATCTTCAAACATTAACCAAAAGTAAGTACAAAAGTGTTTCCCCAGCTCATCCTGTTCTCTGTGGATGGAAGTGGTTGCTCGAACCAATGAATCATACTTACGTGGTTGTCTATTTCTGTCTCACTCTATAATTTATGTAATGTGTATTTGACCTCCTCTTCTGAGGTTTTGAGTCCTTGCAGAATATTCATTTTCTAGCTGCTGTCTGAAACTCTGGGGTCTAAAAACTTGCATCAGAAAGCACAGGTTTTCATACTGTTTCCATGAATGGAGACTTAAAGCAATACTGTATGTCACAAAATAGTCTATGATGTATCTCTGTTTCTGCTACCTTTTGGTACCTGAAAGACCTCCTTTTGTTCAAATTTGCTGTACCTTACTGATGTTACTGTAACAACTTACAGAAATTGAAATGAATGCAGCAACAAATAAGATTGTCTCACTTGCTTTTAAACTAGCCTTTCTCTTTCTGTTGGTGATTTTGGGTTTGTTTGTTTGTTAATAAATTTTAGTAATTGTGGCATGTAACTAAACCTGAGTTTAGACAATTTTCTAAATTCTCCTTATTTTCTTAGGCCAGATCTTTAAAATTATTTTTAAGTTCAAAGTCCTCTATGTTATACTGGAATTTGCATGACAGTTAAGGTTGCATCTTAAAAATTAAATACTAATTATTAGGGTGATAAAATAAAGCAGCAAATCTCAGGTAATCAATGGCATCTCCTCTTTTTTGAGATTTGCAGGAACAGTTTGATATTAGGTGATAAAATGCCTTGATGCATTTGATAGAATCATGGAATGGTTTAGTTTGGAAGGGACTTCAAAGATCGTCTAGTCCCATCACCCTGCCATGGGCTGGGACATCTTTCAATTAATAGAATGATAGAATCACAGAATGGCCTGGGTTGAAATGGACCTTAAAGATCATCTAGGTTCAATCCCCCTGCTCTGGGCAGGGTTGCCAACCACTAGATCAGACTTCCCACAGTCACATCCAGTTGATCAGTTTGACCCAAGATTGACTGTATTACAGTGCAGTGCTTGGAATCTAACAATGCCGTAAGGTGTTTTCTGGCTGCACATCTGTTATTCCACAGGTGGCTAAAGAATAGTGACAGGTTGGTTGATTGTTTTCTTGGAAAGAGAAAATAAATATCAGACAAAGTCTGAAGTAATGAAATGTTTAAATGGAAGTTATATTCCTAATGTCTTTCTACTGTAGGCACTATGTTTCACATTTTATATTCAGTCCATCAGAGTAATGTTACCCTCTTGCCGTATTTAAGTTTTGCTTAAAAATATTAACAAAAACTTGATATTAAGAGAGAGATAAAAGCCTCCTGAAAATTGTTTTAATGGTTTTCTGACAAAATGTCTTGTTTAAAAAAAAAAAAAAAAGGCATTCCAAATAGTATTAAGTGTATGGCCTTCTGTAGGCTGGTTGGAACTTGACCCTGTGACTCGGTTGCAGATTCCTGACTCTCTCTTTTGCTGTTAACACAGACCTTAAAGAAAGGTGGAGGATTTTTTCTGAGGGTGGTTTCTTTTCCTCCCAAAGCTTTGTATTATTCTATAGTTATGAGCACTCATGCCTTCTTCAACATAAAAGTTGAAATGAGCCACTTATTATATTTGAAGTTCATTGTCACAGAAGAAATTTGGAGCTTATGAAATAATGCTATTCTATACTAGTTCTTTATGTGTAATTGTTTCAATTGAGCCAAGAACACTTCATAAAGAATTGTCATTAGTTTTGTTAATGAAATAACAGACAAGCTTATGTGTGCCAGGTTGCTTAATTTTGTACCATTTTAATTTTTAAAAATCGCGCACCATAAACAAGCTGTAAAAAAATTCCTGACATTCCATTGCATACATGCTTATGTACTTATCTCTCTAAACGTAAGAATGTTGCACATGAATTTTGAATCTTTTCCCTATTGATTAGAATGATTAATATTAAACTATATATAATATATAAGAACATAAGATGTCCCAGAATAGATGATCTTTTTTATCCAATCATTTACAGCAGCACATCCTGGAAAAGTAACATTATTACATGATTTCAGTTGAAGATGAAAAAAGACAAGTATGCAGCACGCTTTTCTTACCTGTTAGTATATTTCACTTTTGGATATGGTGACTTTATGTTGGCAAGGCTTGTGATGGTGAAAATATGCCCAGAGAAAGGCAACAAAGCTGTGAGGGGGTGGAGTGCAAGTCTTAGGAGGAGCAGCTGTGGAAGCTGGGATTGTTCAGTCTGGAGAAGAGAAGGCTCAGGGGAGACCTTATCACTCTCTACAACTTCCTGAAAGGAGGTTGTGGTGAGCTGTGGGTTGGCCTCTTCTCCCAGGTAATGATGAGAAGCCATGGCCTTAAATTTGCACCAAGGGAGGTTCAGGTTCAATGTTAGGTAAAATTTCTTCTCAAGAAGAGCAATGAGGCAGTGGCACAGCTGCCCAGGGAGGTGGTGCACTCACTGTCCCTGGAGGTGTTCAAGAGCCCTGTGGATGTGACACTGAGGGAAATGGTCAGTGGGCATGGTGAAGTTGCACTGGTGGTTGAACAAGATGATCTTAGCAGTCTTTTCCGACCTTAGTGATGTTTTGATTTATTTTTTTTTTATTTTTGCTGTCATTGTTGATAGCATCTTACTGTAAATGATTAGCCATGCAAAATGGGTCTCTTGAATCTGCCTACTGTAGAGTACAGTGAGAATTATACAAGTGAAGGATGAAGATACTACATGTCTCTTCTTGTGTTTCTTGTACTCCAGTTAAGGGTTTTCTTGCTAGTAATATGTAAATCTCTATGAATAGTAGAAATAGCTTTGCTGTTTGTTTTTTTTTTTTTTGTAAGTGTTGTCTTTAATTTATTACTAGATGTCTGAATTGCTTGTTTGTTTGTTTTTGTTTCCGCACTTTAGTCCTTCATGCCATGAAAGAAGATAGCGAGAAAGTGCCAAGCTTGTTAACAGACTATATTTTAAAGGGTGAGTATGTTTCCTAGCAAAGGAACTTTTTTTTTTTTTTAATTTTATATTAACATGCTGAATATAAAGGATGTATTTGAAAAGAGTAGTTATAACATGAGTTATGTTAGCCTTTTATTGCAGAAGTCTTTCATTCATTCAGGGCCTTGTGAGCGTGTAGTTCATAATACAACATGATTATTTTTTTTTTGTGATAATGCAGTGTAGTGAAGTATGCATGTATATTCACGTAGCTGAAGACATCAGTGAGAGCAGAGTAGCCTGGGTTATAAAGTTAAATGGGTGTAGTTCATGTGCATGTTACCACGTTCTTAGAATCAGAACTCAAACTTCTTAGTATTTGCAAAATGAAGTGCTTAAAACTTTGCATAAAAATGTGTTACCTTCTAATCTGTATTATTTATTTTACATGTATTTATCATACCTTCATCTTTTACTTGTAGTTTGTGTACTAATCATTTATTTTCCAGTCTTATTAGCAGAATGGGAGACTTTGAAAATCACTGCTAGCTTTAACTTGAAGGAGTTGTTCCAGGTAGTTTCCAGGTTGTTAAATTGCTTCTAAACACAGTTCTTTGGCGCTTTTTTTGCCCACATCTTAAAAACACTTATGTCATTGCAAGTCTTGGCATATACACTGTTCTTACTTCGTTAGAGTTTAAAACATTCATCAGACTCCCAAGATCAGAACTAGCAGGTATACTAAAGGAATGATGGATGGATGCTGTTTTATTTGTCACTCAAATGTAGGTTATATTCAGCTGTTCAGCTTCAAGTTTTCATGCTTCCCAGTTTTTTCTGTCCTTTTAGTATCAAGTTTTCAAAGTCTTGCTATTTTTAATTTCTTTTTATTTCAAATATAGTCATGTGACTATTACTGTGGGTTTTTTTTGTTGTTGTTTTTAAGATTTTCGTATTTCTTTCACAGATTCTAACCATTCATCTCATAGAGATCTGAATACTTCCAAATTACAGTTGTAGATGAAAGCATGCTGTTGCTTCAGAAAAACTGATAAGAGAACCACATAGCACTGTAGAAGTTTCAACAGACTTCTGTTGAAAGAGGCTCATTTCTGATTTTCATGTAGCACTGCAGAACTGCCGCATACAATAAGAGTACGAAGCTCTTTCAGTTGGTTCCTTTAATTGCTCCACTGTTTACTTACCCTTTCTGAAAATCTTTCTTATGTTAGACAGATATATTTGCTTATGAGCTGAGAGCCACTTAAGCTTAAGATCAAGGGGTTTTTAATGGTGATGGCACTAAACATTAGTTTTATGGAACAGAATTTTCAATCCAAGACAATTAACTGTTGTCAGTAATTAAAGCTGTTTGCTTTTCATCGTAATGCATCTGGTAGAAACTGGATGGATTGTTCTTTACAATGTCTCCCCTTATTTTTAGACGTAACTATTGAGAAAAGTTTTTACATTACTTGGATGCTGAGAAGAAGCACCCTGACTGCTGAGGGAAACAGGAATCTTCTGTGCAGAACTTTTTTATAAGATACACAGATTAACTGAACATATGACAGGATGATGTAAGAATCTCTGAGGTTCCCTCCTACCTCTTTTCTGCATGCTCGTGACTCTAAAGTCAGCAGGAATATTCTGTCAGCTAGTTGCACAATTACAAAGATATTGTGCTTGCATTAAGTGTGTTGGATCAAACAGTTCTTCATAAACTCTCAGGGAAGCATTATGCCTCTTACTGTATAAGATTTATTATGGGTGTTTAAAGGATAATCTCTCTCGCCTTTCTCATACCAAAAGGAAGAGATATTTCCCCTCAAACATCATGGTTTCTGAACTAAGAAATCATGAACTAAGGCTTTCTTACTCTTCTGTAGATCTGTTTGCACAATATTCAGGCTAATTAGCATGGAATTTCACTCCATCACTATAGCCTTAACCGAGTTTCCCCTTGCAATATTTAGACTGTACTAAATATTTATAGCTCATAAGCCAGCATTACACTGTAATGTAGATATTGTCAGCTACAACTCAAGATTTGCTTTCATTGTTTAGAATCAAGCTGAAGAAAAAGTATCAGTGAAAAGTGATTCTAATGATTTCCATAGCATTATTGGTATACTGTAATGGAACAGAAAGTGTCGTGAGCCTGGAAGGATAATAGCACTCTAAGACCTTACTCTAAGCAGTAAGTGTTTATTTTAGAGCAAGTCCTGCCACTTCTGTTCTGATAGAAACAGAAAGAAAGTGAAATATGTTTGTGTCTTCTCTGAACTTTGTAGTGTTTGGTAGAAATGTCACTGTTTTGAATATCTTGAACTAAATGCCAAAATTAATTGTAAAGCTTGTGAAAGACTAAATTTGCATCATGTAGGAAGACACCACCAACCCCACCATATGTATCATCTAATACTTGATACATTAATTGAATGATGATTGAGTAACTTTATTTTGGCAAGGCAATTCAGTCAAGAGCTGGAGCATAGGGCTAGAACTTGAAGGAGAGTTGTATGACTAGATCTCCTACTGACCTGTGTTACCATGGATCGTTCCTATGGTTTTTTCATAGCTTATGTAAAAGTGTCAACTAACACATCTGAAATGCTGTCAGGAGAAATCTTAGAGCATTGCTCTGCAGATGCAGTATAATAAAGAAACAAAGAAGGCCAGTGCAACTCAGAGCTGTCAGAGGGGTTTGCACAGACTTCGTTCTTTTTATGTCAGGAAAAAAGAAAGCTCCCTGTGTATTTCTGAACAGGATTACTCATTTTCGTAAGATATTTTTTGGTTTTGTTTTTTACTTTAAAAAAAAAAAATTCTCATTTTCCAATTTCTGCTATCTCAAAAATGTTTCAAAAAATAATATATATTTTATTTGGTCCTCATGCATGATTCCCTCTTATGCATGATGACAAGAACAAACAGTATGGGGGTAACCTGCTAGGAAGAAGTAAACAGCAAATTTAAAGTAGTAGCTGAGGAAGGCTTGGTGGGAAGTAGGATTAACCAATTTTACAGTTATGGAAGTGAGGAGAAATAATTAAAGAAGTCTGAAGGAAGCTAACATTTCTTAATTAAGATATTTAAGTAGCAAATCAATACATTTTTTTATACATAGAATCAAAATTTGTAGGAAAGTTTTGTCTGGGATCAAGTTTGTCATGTTATTTCAGAATTATTGATTTTATTTTTTATTTTTATTTTAATTCTTTTTTACAAAATTTGGAGATTTAATTTCAGTTGGATAACTGTTGAATATATTACTGGTAGTGCAGAACAAAAATTGAATACATCATTCACTGAAAGACTGTTTTTCCTCAGTTCCAGTGTAAGTGTAATATGTAAATAACTCTTGACATTTTTAAAGCATAAATTGCTAGGTCTGTGTATGTGTGTATGTAGGTATGTACTTCTAAATGAAGCTCTTTGGCATCAGATGTATCCTGATAGTAAGCTGTTTTAAAATCTGTTACTAAGCTCTGTGCTCTTGTCCAATTGTTCTTAAACAGTGATTGTGACATACAAATATAGTGCTAAAAACTTACTACATATTATCACTGAGTAAAGTAGATGAAATATATATAGTGTTATTTTCTCTTCGGCCTTTTTTCTGAATGTAGATGTCATAAAAGTAGAAATAAATTTCATTTTGCAGCTTGTTTTCCAATAACGAACGACAAAATTTTTTTATTAGTGAAGCAAGTTCTTAACCTTTATTCTACTAATAAAATATGCATTTAACATAACAAGAATATTCATCTTCTTGTCTTTGAAGTCTTTGTTTGGTTGTCATAGCTGACTTCTCTGTTTGCTTTTGTGTTGTGCTAGCATTGGTTTGAAAGCTGGATTGCTCCGAGGTTTGTCTTGTATGTGAAACAGGAATGAGAAACATGTGAAGGACATGTCTTGTCTTCCCACTGTCTGTGATTCAAGTACACACACCAGATTTAGAAAGTAGTATTAGAATCCCAAATTTTCAGTGCATATTTTAATACATAATTGCATGTGTCACCTTTTAGTTAGCGTTCTGTTCTCTAATATAGCACTACATAAAGCACTGTTTAAGACATGACCTTTAGTTAACTCATTTCTGGATAATGTTAGTTAAAGATAGTGGGTTGTGTCATTTAATCTTCTTTTGAGGAGAAGATGGTATCTTAATTGAGAGTTTCAAATGATTTCTAGATTTTTGCTGTGTTACTGATAGGGTAGAATTCAAGATTTAGTTATTTCTAGTATAAACAGTACATTTTTATACAGACTAACTTCACTGATGTTTATTCAGGTATCTTTGTGGTCTCTTACAGTTCTGTGTCCTACATGAAGAGGGCTGCCTTTCAGAATTAACCGTGTTCCTTCCTATGATGAGAAGCTTTCCATGGAAATAACTCATAGTATTTTCTTCCATTTGGTACTATACCTAAACCAGTACCCATTTACCTCCTTTGTGTGTGCGTGGATTTTCTGATCCTACATTAAGTCTTCTGGGCATGACAACTCATCCATTTTAACCTAATAGTGCAATGAACTGGAGCAGGGAACAAAAACTGTACAGTTTTTCTCGCATTGTTCTGGCTTTTTAAAGTCTCTTTTTACACTGTATAGCATGGAAATCCTCCTGCACATTTTGTTGTGGGAAGGAAAAGTAACCTTTGAATAGTGTAAATAACATAAGCCTAATTGTAAGGAATCCGTATTTAAAACATCCTTAATTCCTGGAGCAAAAATGTAAAAAGAATTTTCATTGTACAGACCCAACAAAACGATTCAGATGAGTTCTTCAGGAAGCACTCTGGGACAGTGCTGGTGGACATTTGTTTTCAACGGTTCTTTTAAACATTATCTTTGAGCTATACAACAGTAATGTTCACAGAGTGAACAATTCCTTATTCTTTAATGGTTTGGCATAAGTAATTGGTGTGTTACTTATCTTTGTTATCTAACATAACCATCAGAGTAATGTAATTTTTCATATTTAATTGCTGTTTTTGTTTTAATTGTTAATGTTCACGTGGCTCAGATATTCTCTCATATTGCTGCTATAATTTTACTGGTTTTAATACGCGTTTGATCTTAATGGATATGATTAAGTATATAAGCATTTTGAAAGGCTATATCTTTTTAAAAATACATGTACAGTTTGGAAAAAACTTGCACCTGGGTTCCAAGTTAGTATTATATCAAGACTTTGGTCATTGTGTATCTCTGAACTTTACTACAAATCTTTCTTGTATGCTCTGTGATGATGTATCTGCATTCAAACAGATGAGAATGTATTTTGCAAATCCTGTAAAAGAAACATACCCTGCGATCTCCATATTAAATATTTGCCACAAATCATTTTGCCAGTCTTAAAATTTACATTAGAAAATAAGGAATACTAGTAGAATCATAGGAGTTTTTCTAGGCTGAATTTCTATTAATTCTATACCGGATTTTAATACTGTATATGTGAAAACAACTGGCAAATAAGAGTCTAAAGAGAGAAATGTCTTTTGTTTCAAAATTGTTTAAATTGATTCATTTTGCTCAGCTAAAAGGAAAAAAAAAAAAAGTATGAAAACTTTTTTAAGAAAGTTCTCGTAACACTTTGACTTTTTTCCTACATACCTCAGCATTTTCTTTTGTGCCTCTTTATTGCTGAACTTTTCTGAGCTTAAAGATCTTTCATCCCTCCTCTTCTTTCTCTGCACCTGACTGCCATCAGATACTTACATGAGATACATGAGATCAGGAATAAGAGACCTGCATAAGTATGTTATAGTTAGGGAAGGGTTATTGTTGTAGTTATACTTGATTAGTGGCTCCTGTAACAAACAAGAGACCATTTATTTCTTTAGCAGATGTATTAAAAAGTCATTATAACTTGTTTTTCTGTAAAAATGCTTACTTTTGATTATTGGTAACTGGAAATTAACCAAGGGAGGGAGATGACCCCATTTTGTTATTTCTTTTTTAAAATGGTTAAACTCATTTTGTCTCCAGATGGGATCTATTCAAACTAAGCCCTAAAAACCAAAACCAACTTCAGTGGTAAGCATGTGCATGGGTTATGATGTCCTTCATTAGACTTATTAAAAGTACCTATTCAGATTATGAAAAATACCCATTTACCATGTATATAGGATGCTGGCATTAAACATCAACTCCCAAAGGTAGGAAATATTGTATGTACTTAGAAATCTTTACAAATCTCAAAGCACATGAGTAAAAAGAGCAATGCAACTCTGTGTTTCTGATAAGTTCTATGTATTTCAAATTCTCTTATGCATCCTTTTTCCAGTTCCATTATTGAATCTTGAATTCTTTGAGGGAGCTTTATTTTCTGTGAGATAGCCGTAAGAAGGACACTCAAGAGTGATTACTGGCAAGCACCTGCATTTTTACCAAAGGTCTGTTCAATTTTTTATATGAAATGTCCTAGAAGTCTCCTGTGTGAATTCAGTGAATTAAAGTCACTGAATTAAAAGTTACTTAAAGGTAGGTATTTGTATAATTTACTTCAGAAGCTTTGGTTTTAAAATCCAACTTTTTCTATGGAATTCAGTTGTTTTATTTGATAAGATTATTCACTTGCTGCTAAAATCAAATGGTGAGTGATGGGCACTCTAGGCAGCGTGTCCCAAGTTAGTCAAGAATTCTTGAAATATGTTGTCTCAGTTAAGGAAAAAAGAAAACAATATTGCAATCAATTCCCCTAGAGTGAAAAATAATAATGTAGTTGTACTCTCAGTGGTGCAGACAACTGTATAGATAACTGGTGGTAAAGAATATCTGCTACTGACCTTGCCAGGTAATTGTATCCTTCATCTTGCTGTGGTGATTTTATAGCAGTAGTTCACATCTTTGTTGCTTCCAGTCTAGATTACCTTGGCTATTCTTTCTGCATGCATGTTGCTTGGAAACTGCAGCTAGCACAGAAGAAGGTGGTACTGTGTGTGCTCAGCAACAGTGTTGGTTGTACACAGCATTGTTTTCAGCAGCTGCCCCCTCATTTCCAAAGGGTCGATTTAAGATGCAAGCTTTAATTCCTGAAGTTCCAGCTGGTACGAAGCCCACGTGCAGCCTGCTTCTCCAGCTGTGTCACTAATGGTCAGTGGGGGTCAGCAGGTTCACTTAAAATAGCAATCTGCCCAGCAAAATCTGCCCTGTTCAGTCAGGAAAGGCCTAGAAGCAAAGCTCTCTATTGAAGCACTTTCAGCTCTGATGCATCCAAGCTTTAATTTATTGACTTGTCCCATCATTCTATCAAGTGTTCTTCATTGGGTTATTACTGTATTGTACTAACAACAATCTCAATGGATTTGGAATTATTTTCTCATTTTGATAGCAGTGTTAATTTTTAATATTTCATGTTTAAATTATCCCTCGATATGAAGTCTGTACAGAAACTGCACAAACTTTCATCAAGTAGAAATGAAATTTCAGTGCAAAGTGAAAAACGTGGGTCTTGAATTTTGTCAGGTGAATTTTGTTTCTTGCTTGTCTTGAGGGCACAGTGTTTTTTATTTTAAGTCAAATGTGAAAGTGTCATAAAGGAAATCTGCCTGCTGTAATACTAAGATAATGTGATCATAACCATGATTCTATGATTTATTTTTAAGATGTCTTCACTGCAGACAGCAGTGACCTTTATTAAGGTTACATGGGGCACATCTAGTGATGGACAAGATATTTTCCTTGTGGACAGTTTCTTATTGCTGAAAAATGGAAAGGTATTACTTTGTTCTGTTTTGCAGGTTTTTTACATTCATTTAAATGCTTTTTCTTTGCTGGTGAAACGAAGTACATGGTCCTTTGCTCACATTCCTTTGACCAGAAGTTTTAAAGTTTTTTTAACTGAGAACTTATTTTTGTTTTTACGTATTGATCAGTGATGATTCCCTGTTTCCTGATCACTGTGTGCTCTAAGAAGAATTGGTGAAGAAGCTTTATGAATTGCGAGAATTATTGAATTTTGTTACTGTTTCATTTTTTCTCCCCCTTTCAATCTCCTCAGATGTTGAGTAGAATCCTCTTTTTGCTCTGAATACTAATGCAAGCAGAACTCATAGTTATTTCATTGTTTGTTTTTAAACCTCACTGTGGGTTTACATTAGCGTTATGGAATAAAAAATGAGTTCTAATTTTCTCTAGTGTTGTATGCACATGTTTCTTAGGAACAGCATGCTATAACTGAATGCAGTAGGATGAAAAACTGTGCTAAGTAGGTAAAATGTTTAGGTTTCCTTGGTAAGAAAAATGTTCAGGAAATGCCCACCTATTTTGAAAAATAGAGAAAGCAAATTGTGTAGCAATATACATTTCTCTTTATTAGGCAGACATGCACAAACATATGGTTTGATAATGTTCAGAGCACTAGCCAAGTTACAAAAAAAAAAAAAAATCTAGATTTTCCCAGTGACTGCCTTTTTGGCCTTCAGCAATAGTCCATCACAGATCAATCAGGAGCAGTACAGGATATCTTTTGGGTGGAAGGGTACTGTTATTAAAATGTTTGCTTTTTTTGTTCCATATACAAATCATTGACTGCTCTCAGGAATGTTTCTCCTGTTTATATTACACTTGTAATATGTTACAGATTTGTTGTACCAAGTTAGCCCCACGTAGGTCGTGCTGCTTATCTGTGTATTTTGGAAACTGGGGTTGGAGGATTACCAATTAAGTATGGAATTCCTTCAGAATACCTTACAGCTGTCATCATCATTACAAAACACCTCCACAGTATTACCTACATTCACTTCTTTATAACACAAGAAATAAAAAATTGCTTGAGATAAATTTGAGGAATAAATAAATAAATAAATGCAGATACAGTCACTTGCTGTTCCAGAGGTTGGTATTGTTTGCCAGCAATGGCATGAAAACCATCAAGTACAGAGCAGCTTCCTTGTACGTGCACTGGCTGCTGTCGTTGATGTGTGAAGTTATGTGAACTGCTCTAAGACTCGCTGTCACTAGAAACTCCTAAATCTGCACAATTACTTCCTCTAATTTGTGTATCTGAGATTGTAAAAGGTGCTGCACTAGTAAGGCTTCGCTTTGTGTGTGGTGCAGTGATTTATTTATTTATTTATTTATTTATTTCCCCTGTGAAAATTCTGGATGTAGAAGCCCAAAGGGACACGGCATTGCCTGTTGCACGTAAATAGCTTGAGAGTTCTGCTTCACCAGCACCTGGTGTTGAAGAAAGGTCTTTCAGAACCACTTCACTCCCCAGTGCTGACAGCTTTAGTAGTAGTACATGGCCCTTACCCAAGATAATTTCTATAGGGCTTTTCAGCCATGAAGGATCAATGGGGTCTTTTCTGTTTCTGGAGTCATTGCTGTTCTAATGTCTGATAAGCTCTTGCATTGCTCTGAACTGGCTCAAGAAGTTGAAGTTAATTAAGAGTTTACTGGCTTAGGACAGTAAGTGTCAAAATTTGGAGTAAAAAATGAGTAAAATCCTATAGTGTCTGGTGTAATTGTAAAAGACTTGTTACCTAAACCTGCGTGCCTGGATTAGCAAAGTGTTAGTGATCATTCTACATCATGCACAGGTTGACACCAAAAATAGTTCTTGATAGTGACATTTTCTTTTGAGGTGTTGATTAAAAGCTCTGTCGGCTTCCTACAGACAGTTCTGCATTCAATATCAGGAACATTAGATGAGAACACACCACTCTGGAATAGGCACTCATTCTCTTATAAAAGCTTGGGTTCCTGCAAATGAGAAACAGTTCCCTTCTCACAGCTGAGGGTCTGGGCATCACTGTATGTCAGAAGACATTTGTTTTCTGCTGCTATGAAGGTGCTCAGCCAGGACCATGAGGAGCTCAACTGTGGATGGATGAAGGAAAGGTAAGACTGGATCCTCAGTGTTACCCTCAGCAAGGACTTACTGATTCAGCAGATTAAGTAGCAGCACCAATGGAAAGATAATCTTTTTTATTTTGTTTTGGCCTTGTACCTCTTCTCAGCCTGTGTTTCTTAGGCAGGGCCAAGCACCCATGGCAGTGCATTTTCCCTGTTTCTTTCCCTGTTGGACCTTCCTGCCTCTTTCCTTGCCTGTGTTCCTTCTTACACCTTCACATATGCCTGTACCTTACACTACTTTGGTGATAATTCTTAAAATCTCAGGAAGAGGAATGTGGAGGGCAACTCATCTTCCCTTGTACTCCAGACCAATGGCGCTTCCTTTCCCCTTTCCCTACCTGGGTGGCTTTTCAAGCTGTAACCCTCTTCTCCCTTTTAAATATCTGTAAAGCGTAAGTAGCTAAGACTCCTCTTTTCAAAGGGAGATGCATGAGGGAGCTGGGCAAATTGTGTCTGAATAAGCAGGAAGAGTCACAGAGACT